CTCCTCTCAGTCACACTCTGTGTCTGTTCCTACCTGATCTGCCATCTCGCTGGATGTCCACATGGTACCATTCCCCATCATTGGCTTTCTTCTGAGTGGCTTTCACTTTGATGGTGCCCGAGCCCATGTCAAGCAGCAGGTAAAGGTTGCCATCAAGGAGCTCCACGGCAAAGAAGTCCACTTTTGTGTTCTTCTGGCTCCGAGCATCCTTCCTCTCTTGGGGCTTGCCATGAGTGAAGAGGATCAGGCCGTTGGGCTCAGTGGTGCGGAAGTCAAAGGAGATGGAGCCCATGCGCTTGGTGTTCCACTTGGGCAAACTGATGTAAGCCTCTGGGGTCTCAAAGTTGATGGGATCCAATGTGGCCACATTCTCACATTTGAATACAACCTCACCATAGATTTTCATCTTGGTGTCCCCAATCCGAGCCAGGCGAGAAAGCTCCAGACGGATGTCATTATTCTTATAAACAACCTGTCAAAAGTCAAACAAAAGTGCCATATGAATCAGCCTTGCCAACAATAACCATCCATGCTCACTGGATGCCTAGGGAAAAGGTCCAAGAAGAGGCTTCAGGACACAATAATCTAAAATAATGAAAAATACAGTACTTAAAAACATCTGAGATTTCAGGGTGGTCACAGCCCTGAATAATCTTTCTATTTCCATTGTATTCCTTTTGTCTCTCTCCTTCCAGCCAATTCCTTGTGTTGTCAGAAAGTAACACAATATAAACTTACAAGTAAAATTCAACACAGTTTGTGTTGCACAAGATGCAAATACTTAGGTACTAAGATATCTACTCAACTGTAGATATCTTTTTAGTTAGTAAAAGACTAGATTAACCAAAATGACCATCAATAAGAGACTAGCATGTACTTATGATGGAATATTATGCAGCCATTTGAATGCTCTGAGTTCTGACATGACTGTTGGAAAAAGTAGTTTACAATTGATTGCTAATCCACCAGAAGAAAGGACCTGGTGAATGGCATTAATAAAGATTACAGGCAAGAAAATTCTATACAGCAGTTCTACTCTGTGACACATGGGGTCACCATGAGTTGGGATGCAACTCAATGAGAGCCACCACCAACAACAACACTCTCCAAGTCATTGTCAATGGAATTAGTGAGGAACAACATGGAATGTGCTTTATGCCATCATTGTGTAAAGGGTGGTTGTTGTTGTTGTTATGTGCCGTCGAGTCAGCCCTGACTCATAGCGACCCCTCCTTGGGTTTCC